TTAAAATGATAGCTAGGCTTTGATAAATATATAGATTAGATCTCAGCTAATGAAGAATAATAAAACGTAAGCAGAAAAGAAATGTTTTGCATAGGCATTGTTGTCAACCAGAACACAAATGGAGACAATCGAATGTATTTAAGCACAACAATACAGAATATCTCATTAAAATATGAGAACCATATGATGAACAGTTACTTTGCAAAATAACAATCAATTGTCTCAATTTGACTGTTTCTTCTGCAAATATCCATTCATAGTCTCCGATTATAACTGTTCATTCATTTTCGTACCAATTACGTGCCGTTTCCGTTCTCGCCTTATCGATCTTCTACTGAAATACATTCAATGACCGACCATCGCCATATACTACATATATGGATATCAGTAACCCACACCATAGTATAAATATTTGATATTATGGGATCCCTGTTTTATGATAGATTTTACAAAAAAAAAACATTCATGAATAAAATCTTACCCAAAACCACTTGTAGATCTCCATCTTATTGTTACCTTTCAATGAAATTTTAAAAGATAACTAATCTTAAGAAATGCCACACAAAGAAGGATTTAGTCTCGGATAACTTTTTACCTATTTTTTTTTAATAGTTCAATGTAATGACCTATTTAATAATATTCTTAATCTACCTTCTTCTTTCATTATTTATAAAATCAGAAAAGTAATTTATTTTCAAGAAAATCATTCATTCGCTTATTTCAAATGATCCGACCTTTATTCTGTTTGTTCTTTTTCTTTTTTTTTTGAAAATCTATCCCATGTTAAATTATTGATACATTTAAAACGAATTTTTAAGATTACACTTTATAGTATTAATTTAATTGACCTGAAAAAAATTTTTTTTATTATTGTTATTAATATTATTGATTTTATTACATTTTTTAGTCCGAAAAAAACAACAACCTTGATTTTAGTTTTCCTCAGATATTTAGTAACTAGGTTAATAGTTACAGTTGAATTCATATTCTTTATAATTGATCGAAAAAAATATCCGCAATATAAATGTAATGAACGAGAACACAAATGAAGATAATTGAATGTATTCGAACACAAAATTACAGAATGTCATGGTATAATTTGAGAACTATACAGTAAATACTCCATTTGCAAAATGTTCATTATTTGTCTAAGACTTCATTATTCTTCCATTTCTACAGCAATCATTCACTGTCCTCATTCTCTTTTCTTTGATCTTTTTAACCTTCTACCTACCATCAGGTATCCCATTTTCGATTGATATTACATACTACTTACATCTGTTGACATCAGCAGTATACACAACAAAATAATAGTATTCATACTATTATTAACAAAAATAAATTACCAGAAGGGGGTTTTGTGGAGATATTAGTAATTTTATTTAGTTGAGATCATGACTCAATTGAAGCTAGATCACCATGAGAACCTGCAAGCACTGAACGGCTGTTTCATCCCATTGTGGGACTTCTCTATCGGCTAAGTGCTCTGGCGCGAGACTGGTAGGTTCTGGGTTCGAATCTCGTGAGGCGGGATCGTGAATGCGCACTGATGAGGAGTCCCATAGTAGGGCGAAACTGCCATCCATTGTTTCCAGATTTTCCATGGTGGTCTAACTCCAATTCACTCATGATCTCAACTATGTAAAAATAAATTACTTTTCGTTTTTTTTTCTACTTGTATACATTATTCTTAAGCTAGATAATTCCGAAAATTACATTACGAAACTTATTTTAGTACACTTTTATTCCCTGTATAAAGAAAATATTTTATAAAGCTTTTAATATTAGGTAAGTACTTAGGACTTGACTGCAAAATACAGACTATTCATGATCAATGATATAAACTTTATAAAAGCACATTATGAAATTTGCCTTTAAATGATAAGATCTAATGTAACTGAGACTCAAATTTATTTTCAGTTAATTAATCATAGATCTTGATTTACAATGCAGAATATAATGATATTAATTTATATGATAGATTCTGAAAATTATCGCTGTTATATAGAAACAAATTCTGATTAACATCAAAGGGTTATTTTTATTCCTATTTAAAATTCCTATTCAAATATTCAGATGATATGGACTAGTTGCCCTTGGTTACAATTCACTATTCTATAACAAACTTCATTGATACTCACTAAAAATGTAATTAAGTTAAACAGAGTTTTAACCATTATTTTCTGATATGAGTCTTGTTTTATAGCCTGTGATATATGTATATCATGTATCTTACAATAAAAATTATAATTATATCGATTACATTATAAACAGCGCTTCTTAGTTTCCATGACTATTCATTAATATTTGAATGAAAAGTTCAACAGTGACTGATAGTCGAGTATTAGAAAGAAATCTTGTGAAACAAATTATATTTTACGTAATCTCAGGGAATAGAGTTGGAATAATTCCAACCTTTCAGTCAAAAAACTTGTCTGGAAATATTTGAAGTAACTACGCTAGAATCCCACCCAATCATCTTCAGCTTCTAATTTTTGTCTAGTGTATATTTATTTATTAGCTTTATTCAATATTATATTTTTGGTACAATATAAAATTCTCAGGACAAAGTATTTCAACAAGTTTCCGTTTCTTATTTCTCGGTCAACCCTGACAATAAATAATGAGTGATCACCAGTCAGAAGTTAGCAGTCCATTCAATCGACATCTAAATAATGTACATTCTTTTCCCTGTATATTGCCAACAACCACGATATCTCTGATTGGTCCTTTTCTAAATTGTACCTCGAAAGGTTGTATACTTTTCAGAAACACACTTGAGTAGGTCATACAGTCATATTGATGTAATAAAACAAACAAAATTAGACAACTTGTTGAAATATCTAGCTAGCAGAAACAGGTAACCCGAATGTTCAAACAGGCCGGCAAAAATTCCAGACTGATTGGTTAGGTGAATTGTTAAACTTATCTATATTTTAATCACTAAGATTATTTTAAATATGATTTTTACATATGAATTCACTTGGTATTGTTTGTTTGAATCTTCTCATTGATTTTTAGAACTGCGACTGATTAGTTCCTTATTGGTATATGTGCATACTGTGTGTATTACCTCGATTTAGACTCATTAGCTGAGTAGATAACGCGATGGCGTTTGAAACGAAAGGTACTGGGTTCGAGTCCCAGAGTGAACATCAATTCTGAGATGCAAGTACATCTAGCTGACGAGTTCCAAATAGGACGAAACCCGCGTCCTTGATTCCACTGCTAGCCACTATCCATATTTGCTTATAATTGTTGCATAGTTATTTAACTTACAATCTTACCTAACATTTAGTTTTTCTTCGATTTCTTATAAACATATTTAATTATGCTTAAATCGAATTATTTCTTAAAATGGTTATTTTAGTTCTCTCTCAATTCCAACGTATGTTTATACAAAAGCTTCTTAGTAAGAGTTTAAAGTCTTTTATATTGAAATCAACTATTCATGGTTTAAATCATATATTCCTTTAAAAATATACATATTAACTAATCTACAGTCTTTTATCAATCCCTTTAAAGAAAATTCCAAACAGTGCATGGTCATAAGTAATACCGTATTGGAATTATTATCATGGCATTTTGGAAAACGAACAATTCAATGGAAAAAGTCTTAATCTGTTGATTAGTCAGGCAATGTGATAACATTCACCCCATCGCACAAGCAAGTGGTTATCAGGACTCAATGGCCGAGTGGATAACGCGATGGCGTTTGAAACGAAAGGTACTGGATTCGAGTCCCAGAGTGAACATCAATTCTGAGATACAGGTACATCTAGCTGAAGAGTCCCAAATAAGACGATTCTACTGGATTCCACTTCTAGCCACTAGCCATTTTTGCTTATAATGTGATCAGATACTTAGATTGTTTTTATTCATTTAATTTGTATAGATTAAAATCAAATTATTTAAAAATATTTCTGAAACTAACTTTGTATATTCATTTGACTAATATATATGTCAAGGACAGGGTTGGATGGAGAGTGCTTGTGGGTGGCCTATACTCCTCAGCAAGGGGTAACAGGCGTTAATAAGTAGCTAAGTAAGTAATATATACCATTATTATTATTTAGCAATTAATAATAATATAAATGAACTGGTAATAAACTTTGATCCTTTTAAAAAAAATCATCTACATGAGTAAACTATGATGAAATCCAATAATTAATTAAAACCAGACTTACTAAAATAAGTTTTCCTTTTATAAATAAACTTACGGTTTAACTTAGTAGGCAAACTTCTATTATTTAAATTTACTATATATTCTTTACATTGAAATTATTTAATAGAAACACTATTATCTGCATCTACTGTTCAGACAAAGTATTTTCTTGTATGCAAAGATGGATAGTGGCAAGCGGTGGAATCCAAGACTCGAACCCAATACCTTTCGTTTCAAACGCCATCGCGTTATCCACTCACCTACTGAGTCCTGATAGCCATTTGCTTGTGCAATGGGGTGAAGTTTAAATTCACTCAGTTGCAGTCCTAAACATCAGTGAATTTATTTTCTTGTATGATTATAAAATTCAACAAAAAACTATCAAAAATACATATACTTCCAAATCGTATTTACGTAAAATTCTAACTTTTTTTTTACGTTATTTTACAGAAACTGTGATTGTATATGTTTACAATACTATTCGTCAAGATTACTTCATCTCACTAATTGATTTTCAGAAGGAAGAAAAGTTCTAGTTGATAATGTTAAGTATGTTATTATGTGAAAAGTTTTCAAATGCAAAATTGTTTTACTACGAATTGATTCACCAATGGATGATTACCAATTTTGTGCATTTTTAAACCATCTATTGCTAACTTAATCTTATCAATGAAATCTCATTATGCTCACTAGTGGATAAAGATTCTTGTTCATTCAATAACCCAACAACAACAACAACAACAATATAATTTAAGAGTCTTAACTGCAGTGTAATAATACTTTTATTATCAATATTCAGCTGTAAAAATTTACAATGAGCATAGAAACAACTTACCAGTTAATAGCCTGATCATTTTGAAAAAATACCCCACTTTTTTATTACTTAAATAAGTATGGAAAAATTATTATATATCTATATATGTATATTACTCCATACACGACATTGGAGAAAATTAAACCTCTATTTATATTGTTAAATATGTTGTATTTTTACGGATGAATTTCATTGGCCAGCTACGTTTGTTACCCAAACCAATCCGTTGCTGCTTTACTGTGAATAAAGCATATTTTGAAAAAAAAAATATTTCCGACCGAATTAAATGTAAATAAACAAACAAATAACAAATAAATACTAAGGGGTCTAGCTTCGGTTGACTCATGATCTCAATCATATAAAATTGCTAAAATCTCCACGAAACCCCATTCTGACAAATACTAAGTAGTTTAAAGTTTTGTAAATACATAATTTATCAGAAACGAATTACATTACAAATAAAAACAATTATGAAAGTAGACATATTATTTTTGATAAAGACGTGTTTTACTTATTAAGATTAACGATAATTCCACGAATAGCTTTTACATTGTTATTGAAGTACTCAGTAATCAGTCCTCGAATCCCTATGATAAGCTGGTAAAATAGAATTAACAATTTAGTAGTATAATATTTGAATTAATGATTCGATTAAAGCTAGACCGCTATTAAATACCTGAAAACACTGGGCGGCCGTTCCATGCTAGTATGGGACTCCTCAGCAGTGCACCGTCCAAATGCTTACAGGTTTTCAGTGGTAACCTAGCTTGGACAGATTAGTGAATCAAACTTTAAAAATACTCCACAAATCCCCAAAATTATATCAAAGTATGAATTTTTGATAAATATATAGTATGGGACTCCTCAGCATTGCGCACTCACGATCCTGAACTTGAACTATTAAATTAATACAATCTTCACAAACCGGCATTCTGATAATAAATATCATATGCTTATTAGAGACTAGCTTCAAGAAGTATTTCCTAGAATTCTAGTGGGAAGCAGTGAGCAGTGGAGTTCATCTGTGTCTGATGTGTGTCAGTTACTCACTGAAGACATTGGAATTGGCTTGGTTGAATTTAGACATTAATACCGTTGAATGCCGGCTCAGTGGTCTACAGGTCAAGTGTTCGCGCACGAGACTTAAGATCCTGTGTTCGAGTCCCTTTGGTACGGGATAGTAGATGTGCACTGATGAGGATTTCTGTATTAGGACGAGACGGCCGTCCAGGGATTCTAGGTTTTCTATGATGGTCTAGCTTTAATTCACTCATGAATTCAACTACGAAATCAATACAATCTCCACGAAACCCCACCATGATAAAATTTCAGTAGTCGTTAATTACTCAAGTCAAGCACATCAGTGTATTGAGCTTAATTTGATGTATTCACTGTAGATATGACTTATACATTTCACGTCATCTGGCAAATTTTAAAAGTGGAGTTAATGGCGTTATAAATGTCTAAGATCAATGAGTCTACAGAATTTCTATTTACTGTATTTTGTTATAAGAAATAGTTTTTAATAAACTATTATTCCAATCTTATTAAATTATTAAATAATGTTGAACAGTGACTCACTTAGTGAGATCATGATCTGGTGAACCCTGTACAATATCTTCCCCTACTCGATATTTCTTCATATATTCGCGTAAGAATAAAGTCATTTTAAATATGAATTATGAAGCACGAGAACTCAGATAACAGTTACCAAAAACGTACAACAAGGAATAGGTTTTAGATATCATCCGTATTTGCTTGACAAAGTTCAGGCTGGCGGATTTCTAACGGCTAACTGGCTAATAATCATTTATCAAGGTCTAATACAGGATTTTATTACAAATCATCAGTCATTTTAACTAGCCTATCTTGCAATCTAGCAAGCCAAATAATAAAACCTATATATATATTCGTCAAATGAAGAATTTGTGTTTTATTGAAGAACTTTATGAATACATACATATTCTAACACTGTTTTTTTTAGAAACGGTATTAAACTTGAACACGTTTATAAGGTTTGGGACATCTACTTATCATTTGAATTCCACGTCAAATAACAAAAGTTGTTACTTGAGTCTTTTACAGACAACTTGTGATTGTCTAGAATGTTTCCTTTATCAACTTAAGGATATGATAGGAAATTAATTTAAGTGAATATTTTTAGATGTTTTTAAATTTAAAATTGACATTAGTGTGTAAAAATAATCAAATAATTATTTAAGTGATTTTCAAATTCTATAACCAACCCTTCTGAAAACTGTATACTGGTAGTTATGTTCTACCGCTGTATAAGTCAAAGTTCTAAAACTCTCAAAAGAATTTGACGGCTACAACAAATTACTTGGCTCTTATCTAAAACTGAATAACTAAAAGTGGACGGCCTTCAGAGGATTATGTAAAAGTTTTTTTTTCATTTTTTCTATATAAATAAAAAACTTCTAGAACCTCATTTGTAGAATATCGTTCGTTTATTAAAAGGTACAGCTGGGATATGTCAGTTATTTATACATCAGTTTCTGAATATTATTTTCGATGATCATGAGTAAAAATGTGAATCTGAAGAATTTACTTATAATACGAATTGACATCTATAGATGTTTGCCTTAGGCTTCAGAAAATTTTGTTGATTTAAGCAAATTAAGCCGTGAAATAGCCTTCAATTAAATTATATATAAATTAAAAACGTTTTATGGCATATCAATTTATGATACGATTCATTGGAGATTGGTTTCATATTTGTAGGCTGTTGTGTTGCTAAGAAAAGTAGAATTCAATTTAGGATAATCTTGAAGATGATATTAACAATCATTGAATTCCTTCTCTAAGAAATTAAATAACTTTACAAAAATTATTATGAATATCTTTGTTTTCAATTGTTTCAATGTATTAAAATAATCAACTATTGATCATTCCGTAAAACTTTTTAAAATTCAATAGGTTCATGTAGCTTAGTAATAGCATTAAGTAGATGAAAAGATAGGAAAACTTTTAAACATCGCGTTTTTGTTTACTGTAAGAAAATACTTATGTAATTTTAACTTTTATCAATGATTGAACTAACAGTGAATTAAGACGAATAAACCACCAGAATTTCGTTACCTTCTACATTGTCTAGATCATCATGATAAAAGAAACGTAGGTCTATACTTTCTCAAACATCTTGACAGTATATAAAAAAATGCATCACATTTCACTGTAATCATTATTTTACTTATATATTGATATTTAAATAAAGAGTAATAATATTTTGTAAATAAAGGTGATTACATAAAATGAGTGAATTCTAATAAACCGACAGAAGCCTATGATAAATATTTGTCTTGGTTAATTTGTAGCATCAATTTATATGTTAAGCCCATATACTTTATTCTAGTTACTGGTCAAGCCAATTCACCTATACATTGAGTCATATTTTGATCTTGTTAATCATTTGCTTATTAACCTTGACTATATTTTTATATGATCATATATGTGTACACTTCGTATCTTATTCATGGTATGTCTGTCACTCATTTTTGTCCGACTATAAATATTGATTAACGCTTGCTTAAATCGAGTTGGCTTCGCAGCCAACATCCAATACGCATTATTTTTGTTCCGCTCTCATCTATTTGCTTCATCACTCTGATTCCCTGGCCAGACCAATGAGTGTAGAAGTTATATGTATTCTAAATCCACTCTCGTATTTGACTTATTTAACTCCGTTATTCACTAACGCGGATAAAGTCATTTATTGCATACGAGGATAGAAAGTACGTACGATCAAAAAGGAATCAGATTTAGGCCACTACAAATTATTGAATACATATTTAACACTTATCATAGAAATACTTTATAAAACCAATTTTAATGTACTGAACTAAGAAAAGAAAACAAAAATCTTTGACATTTAGAAGACCTAGGCTTATAAAGAATTCAAGCCTCTCACAAAAACAGTCTATACTTATAATAAATCTATTTCAAAAATATACGTTGTAGTTTACAATGTGCAAAATATGTTACGTAATATTGTCTTATTATTATTCTACTTATTCTTTTATTTCCATTTAATTTAATTATTTTTCTTGGATCTCTTATTTAAATATCTTTACAGGTTAATAAATCGTGGTTAACAAGAACACGACTGGGAACAATCAAATATGTTGGACACGAAAATTACAGACTATTCCATTACAATCTAACAATCATACAGTAAACAGTTAATTTGCAAACTATCAATCAATTGTCTCAATCTTGACTGCAAATATCAGTCCGTAGTTTCCGATTATTATTGTTCATGTATTTTCATACCAATTACGTTTTGTTTCCGTTCATTTGTTATCGATCTTCTACTGAACTACATTCTCTGCCTGATCATCGTTATATACTACTTGTGTGAATATAAGTAGCCCATACCACAATATGATTAATTAATGAGTAAAATTTATTATCCTATGATTCTATTTAATGTTAATTTTGCATTAGATTATTTAAATATACGGAAAGACATGAGTAAACATTATTATCTTTTTCTTTCGATTCTTTTCAACATATTACTTAAATTCATTAAAAATAAGAATCTTTAACAGAAAAAAACAAGAAAAAAGAGTTTAAAAATAAATACACTATACTAAATGTAAATTATTATGATAGCTAAATAAACTACTCAATAATAATTTGATGGCATTTTCTCTTCGATGTAGTTTTTGTAAACGGTACTCTATCTACCTATCTATGCAAACCAAAACGTGGCATCAGAGCATAAAGTCACTAACGTTTAGTCTGAGCTGTGTTGGTAGATGGAAACTACTTGGTTGGGGTCTGCGTGACTATCGTAACCAATAGTTGAAGACTCTAGGTGACATGACTCAGAATCGATCACAATGGCGTAGGTGTATACATTCTATATCTTCCCTTAAACCTTGAGATTAAAATTGCTTCATAACTTTCTTCCTTCCTATACTATATCCTTATATACAAACTTTCTTTTATATATAAGCACCAATAAATTAACTACCATGAATTCGGTGTTCATCTTGTTGTACTAACGAGGTATGGCAA